ATTTATCAGTAACATCAGAATAAAAGTATGAGAATAAGTAGTTAAGGGATCTTGTACATATTTTCAGTGTATTCAAGATTAAATTTAAAAATTAAGAAAAGGCACAAAGGCACATAGCTGAAATTATGAAAATAAGTCCTTGCAATTAGCAAGATGTGTGAATGAGACAAATAAGTTCAGCAAGTTTATAAGGTACATAATTAATCCATAAAATCATTACATTCTCATTTATTAGCAATAAAAAAAGAAACCTCATTTACAATAACAACCAACCCCTCCCCCCCAACCAAAACCTCCTTTAATATTTGTGAATTGGCCAGTTAGAAACACAGAAAAACAAAGTCTTCCACCAAGATGAAACCCAAACAGAAATTGGCAGTTTCTGCAGAAACAATACTTAGTTGGTCAGGCAGCTAAATTTCGGAATGCTTAGCCTGGAGTCGAGGACCCAAGTTCAAATATGACCTCGGATACTTAGTAGCTTGGTGACCCTGGGCAAGTCCGAGACATGATTTATAAGCACACCCTGGTTAATATCATCATTTGATCCTCTGAGAAGACAATATTAGGTGAATCAAAGTTAAGGCAGTTGGATAGGAGCAATATTATTAGTGAGCCATTAGCTAACGTGTATTATATCAGTTTGGGTTAAAAACTGGCAAGGTTTGTTTATTGTTTGTTAATCAGTATATAATACCAGTCAGGATAATGTCATATGAGTATATTCCTAGGAAATAATCTACTCTTTAGGAAAATCAGAAATAAGGATATTTATTAAAATATATGAAAGGATTTCCATTTATGGTTTTAATTCCTGATTATTTATGATCTGATTACCTGATTTGTGGACTATATGGCTGTTTATTCTTCCTTCCCCAAGTCTCTCATCTTCTGGTTTCTGTTTCCCAACACACTGAAAAATGAGAAAGAAGTTAATGAAGAAAATTAAGAAGCTAAAATTCCCACCCCCTAATCTAGATTTGTTGGTAGTGTTAAGTTTAATAGGTTCAGATGCTGAATAAAGATTATTTTATCCTGTGGATTTTAGTTACACATGCTAGTTACCTCTGTCTTAGTCATAATTGAGTAACTTAATTTACTGATCAGTAAAAAAAAAAGTTAGTAAGGCGGTAGAGTGAACAAAAAGTGTATTAGAAAAGTAAAATAGGTCTTTTATGTGCTGGAGGTAGGCTATTCAGGTGGTGCAGCCTTCTGCTTCTAAGAATATCAGTTCATGCTATGTTTTCAAGCATAATATTGTTACCACTGGAAGGTTATTTTGGCTTTATGGAGTGAGTTGGTGGTCTTGGTCCATTTTATAAAGGACAAGAACTCATGATAAAATTAACTCTCTTGTTGGTCATCTAAGCAGAATGGCTAGAGATTCAATGCTAAAAACTGCTAACCTGTCCTCTCACCCCTCGGGTGTGAGTGCAGAAAAGGATTAAGGCACTAGACTGGTGGAGCACTGTGGGGAAGCTTACATTGAAGCTTGCACTGCCTTTTCCACTGTTCTTTCAGTTAAATAGAGGATTTTAGTTCCCAGGACTATCAATCTGGTGCTTTTCTTAAGCACTAAATTCACTTCTTTTAAAAAAATTAAAATGACATTTTTAGAAGTCCATTGGACTAGAACTTAAAAGACCAGTGTTTCACTAGTGGTTAAGGTTTCATTGTCATTGACATAACCTAGACAAATTTTTTCAGATGTATATTTATTTAGTTTAAGTTCTTTGGGAGTAAGGGAAAGGATTGAACATAAGCAAAAGCCAAGGAAAAATTTCTGTTAACTACATTTCATTTGCTTCATTTGGAGATACAAAAACTTCAGAGTTTGGCAGTATTGTAATATATTTTATTAGATTAAGTATATGACAAAATCCATGGACATAAACACATAATTTTTTCTTGAATGCAATTATAATCTGCTTTCTTACAGTGATTAAAGGCATCTAATTAAATACAGCTGTCATGGATGTGAAAAAATGGTATATTTTTCCAGTGTCTGCTAAATTGGCATTGTATTTGTTCTCAAAACTATATTTTGATTTTGTGAACCAAAATAATTGTAGAGTATTAACAAACTTTCTTAGTAACTAAAGCCTTTTTTTTCTTTTAATTTGAGCTTTTGTTGTTACTAACAAATAATTTGTCACACAGGGTTGTTGTTTTTTTTTAATACTACTGCTAGTATCTATATGCTTGTCATCATAGTGTGCTAGAAATGTTCCACTCAAATCGAGGATTCTTTTCTGGTTTTGTATGTCCTCACCTGCTCCTCACTGTAAATCATTGAGATGTCAAGTGTAGTGATTAATTAAGCTGCACGTGCAAGTGCTTTTTTTTCACCTGTCAAGTAGGAAAAGTCTTGCTATAGAGGTTGGATGCTGCTGTCTTAGTTCATAGCTTTTACTCCAGACTGTGAAGTTTGCAGAAATGTATTGCATTCAAATTTTTATTCAGATCTTGGAAAAGACCAGCAGGATGTATTGATTTAGAAACTTAGGCATTCCAAAGTACATTCACAGTAGTAAAGTGTATTATTGAAGTTTTATTTCGGAACATAACAAGTAGAGATAATTCCTATGTAAATTAGTTGAAGTTTGCAGATTGTGTTTATATAATCATTATCAGCTATAGATTAGGGAGATTTCACATTATTTACAGTAAATGCAAAAAAGTATTAGAAATCCTTATGGATTCATAAGATCACAATAATTAAAGTCCTATTATTAGGCAAACATAGGATTTATGTGGGCACATTTATAGTGAGTGCTGTATTTTTTCATTTAATACTCAATATTCATGGCATGTTAATTTGCTAGTGCTTTAGAGCCTTATTTTTAAAAATTAGGTATAAAAGGGCAGTCTTGGAGAGCCTGATTTTCTTTTCATTCATCTCCTCTCACCTCGCTTTTTTCAACCCATCAGTAAAATTAAAACCTCAAATTGTATAGTAATCTTAATCTATTATTAAAAGGTCCTAGAAAGGAAGATTGCAAGGTAGATTCAGGTTTTGAATCAGTTTTGCCATTGGTTTAGCAGCGGGTGGGCAGGCAGATGCCTGCTCAGAGTAGAACCTATTGCCATTTTTCACCATTGATAGAGTAGCCTTTCAGAGTCAATGAGCTCTGTCAATGTGAGCTTGTCAAGGCTACAACTTCATAGACCTGAGAGGCGGTTTGAGAGGTCAGCCCTTTTCAGGTTCGCTGTGATGCAAATGAACTTTAATGCTTAAACAACTATTGGAATTTTTATGTCTGCTCCTTGTTCTTTTTTCTTCACAAAGTCATTGACGAGACATTCAGTGCTTTTTAAATTGGAAGTTGCATTGTGCTAAAGACCTAGTACAGATTTACGGAGGGCTGAAAGCAGTTAGATCATGTTCTTTTCATGGTGCGATTAGAATCAAATCGATTTCCCTACAGCCTTCAGCATTCAGATGGCAATTTTAACAAAGCTTGGGGGCTAGACAAGGGACAAAACGACTGAACTGAATGTTAATTACACTCTGCAGCCTTATTTTCTTTTGATTTGGAGCTGACTGGCAACTAAATTAACAAAAAGTGTGACCATAACTGCTGCCCTATTTTCATTTAAAAGGAGAGCAGTCTCTAAAAGGCTATCTTTACAAAGAAACAAGTGAGGTCTGCTGATCATTGTTAACAAGGGCACTGTTTTTTTTTTTAAATTCTTGCCCAAAAGACTATGTTAAAAAAAAGTAATGCAATAAATTAGTCATTGACACACTGCTACCTAGAAAGTTACTTGAGTTTCTGCTTTTATGGCGTAATTTAAGGGAACTTAAGCCAATAGTGGCAATTCATAGATAATGATGAATTATAATTGGCATTCATCTGACTATAGTGCAGTCTTAAGCACATTTAAAATGAAAAGTGTAGTATGGCATCCAGATTGGCATTAGGATAAATACTAACTTTGGATTGTAAAGTGTTAGAAATTTAAGAACACTTTGATTCTAACAATTTTTACTTTATAAATTGTCTTTGGTGGACATCTTTAAATTTATTAATTTTTTTTATAGCATTTCAGTTGTTTTGGAGTATTAACTGCAGGATGCTTTTTACCCTTTGCCTTGTAAAGAAGCTGCAGCTGCACTAAGTTGCAGTTGATTCTTGCTGCAGTTCTCTGTCCTTTTGCACCTGCAGCTGTGTCAGGCTCATCTTAACACCTGGCATCATGAATTATCCTCTCTTTTATTCATACTCTCAAGCAGGTCACATTTAGGGCTACATGGTATCTGTTGCAGTAGCAAAATGGCTATAAATGTCAAGTAAATTTCTAAACTATTTTATGAAACTAAATGATTTCCAAAGAATATTATTTTCAATCCTGAGTTTAAACTTTGGGTATGAAAATAAAAATAGAATTTTCAAAAGAAGTTATTTTACCAACAGATCTGTCTCCCCTCCCTTTTAAAAACAAAACCAAAAACTTTACAAGTTATCTTTTCTAGTCAAGTTTAAGCCTTTACTAGCCAAAATTCAACTTACGTGTATTATATAGTTACTGATTTTTATATATCATTATTGATAATTTTCACTAATGGCTAGTTTTAAACTGATAAGTAAACAGGACTATTCAATGTTAGTATACTTTTATTTTAACATTTTATGAATTGTTTTACTGTCATTTAAATATTTAAAATTTGTATAGAAAGCAATATATTAAAATATGTTATTTGGTAGGTAACATTGTTAATGTTAAGCATTTTTGTGTTATATTTTAAATTCGGAGATCATTAAGTTTGAAGCAGTTAAAAACTTGATATTCCATGCTAAAATAAAAAGCCTCTCTTCTTAGTAGAGAAGAGCCTTTCTGTTACTGTTTATCACCAGAGGCAGTTTTGATAGTGTTATAGACCACCCTGTACTTAGTCACTGTCCTGTACCTCTCCCCTTTTCACACAAAAAGCAGCTGCAAAAGAAAGTTTTTCTAAAACCAGTCAAGAGTAAAGTTTTTTCTCATTTGTCTTCCAGACACGAAGATCGATTGAGAAGTTATTAGAATGGGAAAACAATAGGTTGTACCACAAGGTGAGTGCCGCAGGGAGCAGCTTCGTACTGTTGGGGTCTGAATTGCACAGTATGGAAACAGATGCTTTTGTTGAACTAAAAATATGAAAGGTGGACAAATGGGTTACTCTCTGTGCTGCAATAAAATAGGGCTCATTTTTCTTCCTTTACTCTCATTCTTGTCTAGTTGTGCTTGCACTGGAGACTGAGCAAAAGGAAATGTGAAACGAATAACATGATGGAATATGTAAGTTAAAGGGCTGTTTTGTGAGTTTCTCTATTAAATGATCATTTATTTTGCTTCTGATCTCATTCTTTTCATGATTATTAATCAGCAAAGGTGTCAGGAGCTTAAGCTCCTGAGTGCAAGGATTTTCTACGGTTCACAGATGCATGGTTTCATGTGCAAGACTGATTTATAAAGTTATGAATGACTTGAAAACAAGGCTTCACTGTGTTCTGAAAAATAATAAATTAATTGCCAAAATAAAATAGCCTGAACGTGTGTTGATGGAGTGTGAAATTTTAGATGCTGTATAAAGAATAACCACAACTTTGGTTCCACAGCAAGTCAGATATGGCTTTTTTATATAATGCTAATCAAGTCTCCAAGTATGGAGGAAGACCTTTCAGCCAAGCTGCTGGAGCTTAAGAAACCTTTAGCCTTTATAGATTTTAACTGCCCATACCTCAGCAGTCTACAAAGTATCTTTCACTGGGTTCCTAGAACATTACTTTACTTGTGTTTATTCTTTAAACAGTATATAATCTAGTAATTATGTAAATTTTTAGAATAATTTGGTATGGAATTTAACTTGTCCATTGGTGGCTTGATTTGTTTGAATTTTTTTGGTCCTTCTGAAAAATCTATGGACAACATAAGGAAATTTGGGATATTGACATTCTTGAAACTGGGTGCTTTATGTGTAGCTTTATAGCTAGTGAAAGGTCCATTAGAGGGTTAACTGCTGAAAATAAAGATTAACCTTCATGAAGTACCTGGCATAGTACTTCTAACATATCTATGGTCTTTTATTGCATGATATTTTGTCTATTCTTTGAAACAATGCAGCCATCATAGATAGCTTATAAAAAGATTGATTAAAACAGTGTTTAAATAGTTGGAAATTATCCTAAAATCATCTTTTCTCTGTTAGCATTTCCCCTTTCTTCCATTTTCATACTATCAAGTCCTATTTCTAGCCTGAAACATAAAAGACCTTTTTAAAAATGCTTCTTTTTTTCACAGAATAGCTCTATTCAGTGAACCGAATAATGTAGATTTTTCATATCATTATCTATTATATCAAACATGTTAATTTATGATGATGAGAAAGACACATGATACTTTTCTGTAACCATTTAAAAAAAAGCACATCTGAATAAGTTGTTTTGAGCTTGACCTGTGAAAATGCTAGTCCTATATAGATATGTTTTTTAAACCATACAATACTTTCGTGGTAATTTATAATTTATTTTTTGGTCAGGAGGTTAGTTTGAATGTAGGTCAGAGAGTGTTGCTTTGGGGTATAGAAATTTTTAATACATTGACAAACCAGAGACTTTACCCACTAACCTGAAAATCCAAGCTCTGATTTTCTTTTCATTCTTGAATTTGCTTTGGAGAAAGCAGAAGTCTAAACCAATGCTGTTTAATCTTTTCAAGGTTTATGTGTATGAAATTCACCTATTTAATGAATATATTTATCATTGACATTGCTTCTTTTTATGACATTATTTTGTTGAGCCATATATTTACCTTTTTTTGGCAGTAATCTTAGAAAACATTCTCAGTTGTGTATTATCAAAGTTTTTTTTATTAGTTTTCTTTAACAGTCACTTCAACTATTTCTGTATTCTACTATGCTTACATAACACTTTATTTAGAACAATAAGAGGTTATCTAGTAAAATTAGCTAAATTGTACTTTGTAATGACATGTGAGTTGCCTATGAGAAGATTAAATTGAAAAATTCAAGTAATTTTTGCTTTTTTTACATAAAGAGTCTTTTTGTGTATTTGTAAGAAGTTGGAAGGGAAGAACATAATCTCAGATATTCTCTTCTTATGTTTTTCTATGAAGTGCTCCATTAAGAAGATACTGCCTTCTCTCTAGTTAATATATACTTTTTGCTAAGTATTCCTCTTAAGGACAACTTTTTGGTAAATTTGAGCAATATTTCAGTTAGAAGAAATGACTCCAGTTGTATTTTGAATACTACTAGAGGCATGCCAGGGAAATCCAATTTAGCTTTATATTTCATCTTGAAATGGCAGTGCTTTATCAGTGGAGTTTAATTGCAACTCTGGTATCATTGTGACATAAATATGACTCTAAGTTTTCAAAAATTTGCCAGTAGAGAATGATTGGTAGTAGTCCTCTTACTATTTTGAAAGGTTTTGAGTATTGCCTCTATATGTCTGTTGTGTGAGGATAGCCTCATATTTACTTTGGAAAAGCTCATCATTTGAGGTTTGGCACCAGATGATGCTTGATTGGGGGGGAGCAGGGTGCAGAACGGGGATGGGATCCTAGCAGTTCTTTGAGTCATCTGCTATTTCATAAAGGGCTTACAACCTTTGCTAATAGAGACAGAACACACGTAGGTGAGATAACAGATCTTTGGAGTATAATAACTATGTGGCATAAATATAAAGTAATGAGACCATATGCATAAAATGTTTTCTCAAGAAATTAGTAATGCCTAAGAATATTACCAGAACTGGCTTTATTTTTTATATATGTAGCACATAATGCTAAATATTGTAATGTGTATGGTACAGCAACCATTAGATCTGAACAGAGTTTATGTTTTAGCATTCTACTTTGCCATTTAACTCTACAAATGTTTGTTCAGTGAGGACTAAATAGTTCTGTTTTTGCATCCCAACCCAGCACCTAGCACAGTGCCTTTGATAGAGATAGTAGGCCTTTAATATTTGTTAGAATTAGAGACAACATAATGAAATAGCCTTAGTGTTGGACTTGCAGAGTCAAGATGACCTAGTTTTAGATTGTACCTCTGACATTTATTAGCTCTCTGACCATGGGCGATACAATTTACTTCTGTGAGCTTCAGGCAACTGTCTAAGACTTACCTACTACATTGTACTTGGTGTGAAGTTTCTGTTGACCAAGGAAATTACAAGTCCTTGATGAATTGCTTAGTTTAATTGCCTGATGTAAGGCATTATACCCTTGTGGAATTAAGTCTGCTAGGAGCTGTACACATGCCATAGAATTTTGTGCCTGGAAAAACACATAGTTCAAATGCAGTATCTCTAATGTTTGAGAATAGACATGTTGAATATTAATATTTAGAACTAAAAGATCATCTTAAAGAAATTGTACCCTCTTTTTTCTCAGCATAGTTCCCTCTTTTTACAGGTAAGGAAATTTAGAGAGATTAAGTGCCTATGATAATACATCTAGTAAGTGGTAGATCTGTACCTAGATCCCCTAGAGAGTCTTGACCTATTTTTCTGCTTTATTGTTTCTCTTTGAAGAGAGGTAATTATTATTTGAATCATTATTATTAAATTATTGGATAAAATGTGAAGAATTCTAAATTTACATAGATTTAAACCTTAGGAATTATTTCTGAGCCTTATGCTTTCTGTTCAAAGCCTTTAAGTATGTATTCCATCTTTATCATTTGGGGCTTGCTTGTTCTTTCTCTGCATTACTGTTTCCTCAACTCTTCATAGGATGATCATAGGATCATAATTGTTTAAAGGTAAAAACAGTTCATAGTGAGCATAGTGAGTTGGATCCAGAGCGGTATATTTAAAAGTTAGGAGTTCTGGATTCTAGAATTGGCTTTGTCATTTATTTTATGAATTACTCAGTATGAAGGAATAGCCTTTACTTGGTTTAAGTTTATGTAAAGTCTTTTTGCTAGGATAAAACAGTAATTTGTTTAGGTTCTTCTCTCAGGCCTCTTAAGTGGTAATTCATTGAAGAGCAAGAAAGCATTGTGGAGATGCTAATATGAGCCAGGAAGGAATTAGTATTTTATTGAACACAGCACCTACCAATTATTTATGTTATAAGAATTAATTGAGAACTTGAAGACATCTTTCATAAAGGACACAGGAATTTAGTGAGGAACTCTAAAAGAGAAGCAATAGATTTTGAACAGGAAAAAAGAGGGAAGGGAATAAGCATTTATGTAATGTTTGCTATGTGCCAGGCACTGTGCTAAGTACATTTGACAGATATATCATTTGATCATCAGAAACAACCCTTTGAGGGAGGTACTATCCCCATTTCACAGTTGTGGAAACTGAGGCAAACTAGTTAAATAATTTGCTCAGGGGCACATAACTAGTAAGTGTCCCAGGCTAGATTTGAACTCAGGTCTTCCTGATTCCAGGCCTAGCATTTCACCCACTGTGCCACCTGGCTTCCTCCAAAAAGGCACAAAATCTGAATTTGGCCATCTGAGGGACCTGAATGATATAAATGGGCTCCTCAGCAAGATGGTATCTTCCTTCACCATTACATAATTGATAATGAAAGCAAGCCTGAATAGCCAACTAAGATAAATAGATAGAAAAAATACTTTTACTGGAAGATGGAACCAACCTTAGCAATTAACAGTCAAATGAATATGTTTCAGTGAAACCAAACAGGTTAGAAGAAATGGATTGGAGTAGGGATACAACTTTCAAAGATTTGGAGTCATTGTGAACCTGTAGTAGAGAGGCAGAGGAGGTACATGTAAATTCAGTGCAAGGTAACTGGAAACAGGAGAAGGATGTTGGGTGACGAGGTAGAGAAGCTCTGCTCATTTCATTGACTAGCAAAGTGGCAGAACCTGAGAGGGCCAATGTAGTTAACAGAGTGGAAGTACAGCTTAGCCCACAGCTAGAGGATCTATTCACTGAATACAAAATCAGGAAACTGATTTTGGAAAGGATTGAAGAATCCCACTAGACCAGGCTTGTGGTTTGAGAATCTTATTATTAACTTTAAATAGGATTTAAGTGAAGTCAAAGGAACGAGGATTTGATGCTTTGTAATTTGTGCCAGCTATGCTGATCTCTGGGGAGCCATTGGGAATTAGAAATTTGTGCTCTGAATACTTGTTTCTGTCCTTTAGTTTACTGTCCTTCCTCTACTAACCAAAATTTTCTAGTAAAAGTTCTGAAAAATTCTAGCCTTGTCTTGATTGAAATTAGGGGGAAAGGGAATTAGTTGTTCACACCTTGATCAAGAATACAACATGAAAGCAAAGGGTACATAAGCAGGAAACTCAGTAGGGGTACTTGATCAGCAGTGGAATTAGAATCAGAAAAGAATACCTTTCTGCCTGGGCCATTCCCTCACACCTTAATTTGGCTACTTGCCTCTTTGGTCCTTCAGTTTATAAATTGCAAAACTGAGATAAGCCCTGCATGGTCATTAGTAAGGATAATTTTTTTATGGTAGCAATTCTAAATGATAAGAATTTCCCAGGGAAAGACTATTTGAATGCCAAGGAGTGGTGATAGGAGTGTTTGTGATTGTTGTATTCTTAGCAGTTTTTTCAAATGATAGAAAAGTGCCAACATTTTGTTACGGTCAAATTTATTTAATTTTGTCTTTTTTTTTTTTAACAGGTCATCCTCATAGAATTTTTACCAAAGACACCGATTTTTCGACCAGATTAGCATTTGCTTTATTTATAGAGACTTATCCAAGTATGTTGTCTTTCCAATGGTGCCTTGCTTGGTGCTCTCCTGGTGGTGACATAGCATTGGTTCTACAGAATCTTGTGGTGTTTTTTTTTTTAAAATAACCGCATGTTCTAAGTGTGCATTTTTGTCAGACTTTGCAACAGTTATTTCATACAGATGTTAAACAATTAAGTTATTGTGCTTTTTCTGTTAATGTATTCTGATTTTCAAAGATTACTTTTTTGTATTATCAAAAAAATATATTTGAACATAGCCTAAAAGTGACCAGGCTTTTTTTTTTTAAATTTTTAACCCAAGGTTCATGATTCCTTCATTGTAAATTCCTTTAGCATAAACACACTTTCTGTGACTCTTTGTGTATCATTCCCAGTGGACGTATTTTATTTTATATTCTTTATTTCTTAATTAAATCAAGGTATCCCTTTTGAAATAGTGAATTTTCCATACTAGTCTTTTTGGGACTTAAATTCCCATTCCCCAAATCCAGCTCCCAGTCCTTACCCCTATTCTGAGTAGGAATATCTGTGTTCATTCATGGATAAATCATATCAAATAGTTCTGAAAATATTCTACCTTCAATGTTGCTACAGCAGACATTGCATTATTTTGTCTAGAATAGGAGAATTGATTAAAGGTCTGCATGCGTCTAATGGTTATTAGAGCTCAGGATCACAGAAAACAGTAGCATCACAACCTACATTTATCTTTATTCAAGGTTATATCTTTAATGATGGCCTTACTTGGGTTACTTTTTATTGTTTACCAAATCTTATATACTAAGGTGCAGAAATATTCGTTTTTGTCAAGTATTTGTCTAAGGAACACATTTTCCATGACATCCTCTTTGTAGTTCTAGATTGGATAATCTTTAAAAATCTTGAAAAATTGAATAATGGAGATAAATACAGGCCATTACCTAATCTCCAAAGGATATTCAAAATAGGGTATGTAAGACAATAATGAAAAGTTAAGATATGGAGAAGATATCAGTTTGCATACGTGGTGGTTCTTTTAAAATTTGTGGTCCATTAGAGCAACTTAATTTTCTGCACAATTGTTTTAAGAATTTTTTTCATGGGGATGTGACCTTTTCTTGAGTCAGTCCAATTATATTCATTGTATCATGTTTTTTCTTTTGGTTGTACATACCTTCATGCATTTACATTTTTTAAAAAATGTTCAATGGTATATATGTAAGCTTTTGTTCTTTTTATAAGCCTGGAATTATACGAATTTTAATGTATGTTAAGAACCTGTTCCATACAGCTGTGGTATCGAGCAATAATGTGAATAATTTTGAAAATATATACTCTTGATTAATACTTTGTATTAAGAATTGGTACCACTACAAAATACCCTCTTCCTTGTATTAAATCTTTTAAATACCAGTTTCATTAATTTATACATCTGTATTTTTTACATATTCTGTGTATTTCTCCACAGTACTGTATTCTCTAAAATGGTTGGATGTCATCTTATATTTGACATCAGGAACTGTCTGAATAGTTTGTCATTTATTTTCCTGAGAATTGTTTACCTTTGGTGCCCAAAATAATAGTAACAATTTAAAAAAGAACAATTAACCTTTCTTCTGAAGAGCTCAAATTGCAGAGTCCAATCATGTGTTTCACCTCACTTAGCTTGTATCTAGGGTATGGTCTGCTGCCCTTTGAATAGTGCAATTAAAATGTTATGCTATTCAAAACAACACTGTAATATTCCTTATTGGGTTTAGTATAAAAGAACGTGTAGAGAGTATTTTATCTGCTTCAGGATTAAAACCAGAGGAAAGGTAAAGGCTGTTTGTATAGAGTTAGATGAGGCAGTAGAATGCTCTGTCTCTAAATGTCGTGCTTTATCTTGCATGTATAGGTGTGTCTCCTTGGCTTCCTTACTAAAAAGAGCTGAACCTGATTAGAAAGATCTATATCTTTTTTCTTCTCACCTCTAATCTTTCTTGTAATCAGCCCTCAAAAAGATGTAGTGTATTTTAAAAGTATATTTTTAATATGCTGAAGAGGATATGAAACTTAGTGTGGATGGTAGTGTTGAGCATAGTGTCCTTTTTAAGCCTTTCTAATTCTCTTTCTAATTAAATGGAGAAGTGTGTCATTTGCTTAAAGAGATTCTCTGGGAATGTGCACTCTTAGACTTTCAATGTGTATCTGGAAAAGAACCATGAATGCTTAATATGCCGGCACCACCATGAGCCAATTATGCCTTGAACAGTTAGGTTTTCGTGCTTTGGTTTTCATTAGTGTCCCCAGTGTAACTGGGTTACTTTTTTTTGCAGACTATGAATTTGAGTGGCCATGTTCCTGAAAATTGCAAATGTCGGAGATGCCTTTATGTATAGGCTAGTCTGAAGGAAATACTTAAAATGGTAATTATTCTATAGCTCCTATCAGTTCTGAGCTATATTATTATTTTTGTACTGGCAAAGTGGGGTATTTGTAAAAATTTCAGTGAGTGTGTAGATTCTTACATAAGCTTAGTGAATAATTTGCATATCATTTGTGGTTTTGGAAATAATTCACTATTCTTGTATAGAAAGAAACATTTTGTGGTGTTTAAATGTAGAATAGAAACCATGTTACAATATGGTTTGTTACTCCATTGATTTGTTGGTAAAATTATGTCCCTGGAAACTAAACTATGCAAATTATGGCTCACTTATTAGTAAAAACCATAGCCAGTCTGAGATGATATGATTAGCTTATAAGACAAATGTCAGTTTTTCACCTAAAAATTAATACTTTTAAGTTACTTTGTCTATGTAGAAAATTGTTGTATTAATGTGTTTGTACTTTAGAACTAGTAGTGACTGCTATTATTCTTTTAGGCAAAACTTTTGTTTATTTTATAAAATAGTGATATCCTCAAAGCCAGTACAGTAGTAACCAAAGGCTTCTTTTTTTCATTAGCTACCGACATAACTGAAGAATTATAGTTCAGGAAGAACCAGAACATGATACTAAAGGTTTTGTGACTAGTGTCATTTGTAGAGTGTTTCAGGTTGTTTCTTTAAGTACAACTGGTCAGTCTCATTGTATCTTGATGATTTTCAGGAGCATATAGGCTACCTTAAGGCAGAATTGCAGAGTTTGTTTTTGGTGCCCCTCCAACCTTCATTTCTGTACCCTTTTCCTCTCCTTGCAACCTTTCTCTCTCTGTCCCTGGATATTTAGACCTCCCATGCTCTTTTGTTCTCGAAGTAACCTACCTCCTTTAGGCCTGCCTGCCTGCCTTTCTTTTCCTTGAAGTACACAAATGATCTCTTCTTCCTTCCTGTTTTCTTAAAGCAAAACTCACAATTTCCTGCTTCTTAACTGAGTATTAGTCTGGTTATGGGCGGGGGGGAGGTAGAAAAGAATCACTGATAGGTTCAGCCTTCTCTGGGGATATTTGCATTTTTAAAAGAGGAGCTTATTAGCTCAAATGACTTGCTTATTTATTTGTATTCATAATGAGAGGATATCACTCAAGTCTCATCTCAGTTGCCACCAACTGTAGCTCCAAGATTAGCTTTCTAAGCCCTCATGCCTAGCACCCTGTTCAAAGCATGTACTTGGTCTTTATTTTGTACATAAATAGAACCAAGCGTTCTCTTCCTTTCTAAGATTAGTGCCACCCTCTGACCCCAAAGCTGTTCTGCAACCTTTTAATTATTTCATATTCCCCTTAGAAGCTGTTTACTTGAACAATACATTTGTTCTCTCAAAGAAAACATCAAAAAAATCCTTCCATGGGGAACAAAAGAAAAGAAAATAGGGCAAAATGGAACTGTGGTACTCCGATCCTTTTGCCCTGTTTTATGGTAAGAGGCATAGTTGCTGTCTCAGGAGACTTTAGGAGGAGGGGCTTAATCTAGGACAGGTCCTAGCTAAAGTACTAGAATAGATAATTTATCTCCCCACCCTACATTAGAACCACTTCCTTTTATGTACTTTTCTCCCATCTTCTAGCACCCTAGTATTTTGTTAAAGGTTTTAATAAGGCTATTCTATTAGAATATTTTGAGTCTAGATACATTTATAAAGATGAATTGAGATTACCAGTTCTTTATCATAGTTTCTGTTTCCCAACTTTCCATATACTTAATGCCTATGAAGTTCCATATTTTTCAGCCATGTATCCTGCAATGTAATGTAGGGTGGTTCAACCATATCTCCTGAAGTATTAAGAGTTACTATTATATTCTTTTTCTAGAACATATAAAAGTTGTTATATGGTTTGGTGTAGAAAGTTATGAGTCAGAAGTTTCAAAATTTTTGTTATCATAAAGGAGTAGATTTTTACAGAATAGAAAATACCACAGAAGTTAAGCTAACCAAATGTTGGAATTCAGGAGTTGACATGTGCTTCTTCTGCTAACTTTCTGTGACACCAGATTACTTGATCTCAGCTAGTTTCTTCATCTACAAAACAAAGATGTGACTACTACCTCATAGTGTTATATGAATCAGTATTTTATAGTTGTTTGTTAAACTTCTGTATGAAAGTAATTGATGTCTAAGAGTAATGTTTGAGTAGTAGTAGTTGGTATTTTATCTTTGCCATGTCAACATAAGCCTCAATGGATTGGCCAGTAGTTAAAGGTTTTAAGTTTACATCTGCATTTTCAGAATTGGGTGTACTTTTGCTGCATGTGGCTGGAATACTGTTTTGTTTATTACTTATGTATAGTATTTGAAGAAAAGTCCTTTATGTACACAGATGTAGTTGACCTGCATAAGCATAGGTGAATAGAGAATTGGACTTAGAAGTGTGTAAGCTAGTCATTTAAGCTCTGGGCCTCAGTTTCTTCATCAATACTGTGAAAGGATTGGGCCTTCTGATCTCTCTAAGGTCTTAACATTCTTTAACTTCTGATACAAGATTCCTTTGTGTCATGTTACATTTACTTAAAAATAAAATGCTTTGAAATTTAGAGTAGGTGACTTTCCCTTCTCTTTTTAAAGAAAATAAAGAGACCGTGTTTGAGTACTTGCTCCAACATTTATTGGTTTCACTTAATCTCAGATCCTCAGTTTCCTTATCTGTAATACGCTGTTCATCTCAGAGGATTGCTATGAGGAAACTTATTTTTTCTTAAAACACTACGAGTTATTATTACTATTTTGAATACAGTATTTCATAGGCAAATATTGAATGATTAACTAGAGCAGGAGACTTTCTTTATGGAAAGTAAGATATATCCCTTTTCTAGAAACAAAAAAATCAGATTGGTTTTCAGTAGAGAGCGGTGCAATCTACTAAAATGCTTTTCTCTTCTGTCATTTTTTGAACTTCAGTTTATTCTTGAAAAAACTGCCTTTTTCCCAAACTCCTTTTTAAAAAAATTCCTGCCCCCATTTAATTTTTTACTGTAGTTTTACTGTTTCAAATGTTTGTCCAAGTCTAAAGTCTGACATGAAGATTTGAGAGGTTTTTATGCTTTCTTATGGAAACTTAGGCTTCAGATTGAAGACTTTCCCATTCCTTAGTAACATCCCATCTAACTAGAGAACTTCAGCTATCTTGTTTTATCTTCATAAACTTTTTATAATTATAGTTGTGGTTTTTTTTGTTAACTGTAGGCATTAAATTTCCTTTAAAGTTTCTTTTTTTTTTGGACCTTTGGTGAAGTAAATGCTATTAAATTTTTTCAGAATTAAGCATTGTAAAATTTGCCAGTAGTGGCAGTGGAAACAAGGTATTCATGATAACCGCCAGATTGGGGAAATAATTACATTGTTATGTAGGGGTTCTGAGTCACAAAGGTTGAAGGCTTATGCCATGGTCTAGGGCTGTAGACAGATTAATGGTAATCTGTATGTATCATAAGAGAAATTATTTTAAAAATTCAATCTAGAATAGGGATTTTGTCTACTGAGTTGGTCTTTGAGATGCTTATGGTTAGTGTGTCAAATAAAGCACGTTTTCATTTGTCTTGTTAAATTTGATGATCTTATGACTCTGGGCAAGTCACTTAACCCCAACTGCCTCGAATTAAAAAAAAAATTGATGATCTTAAAGTTAGCTCAACAATGATTGCTAGGTAAAGGATTTTAGGAATTTGCAAATATTTACAAATAAAACTTTGGGGGTAGTTTGTAAACAAAGCACAACTGTTCAGAAACTACTGATGACCCATGAGAAATTAAAAGATGAAGTGCTGGAGCTCTATGCCATGCTGCCATCAAAGAAAAAATCAGGTAAGTAATATTTTTTTAATTCAAATAAAATTTTGATCAGATGTTTTAGATTTATTTTTAATAATTGATATTCTGTTAATTTCCACGACAGATATTTAAAGCTACTTTTCTTTCATTATTAAGAAATTAGGAATCATGGAAAAATAAAACCATTTTCATCTTTTTAAGTAAAAAATTACAATTCTTTGGCAGTGTTGGAGTTAATATGTTTGATAGGGATGATGAAGTAGAAGAGGTAGCTAAGGACATAGCATTGCAATGTGGCTATGGAAAGATATGTTTAGGGATAAGTCTGTATTTTAATTGAGGTCATGTGTACCCGGAAAATAATTGTCCAGATTAAGAAAAAACAATATAAAAATATTCATTATATTAAATTTTCACTTGCTGAATTTTTCTAGTTAACAGATTAACACCTTAATTTAAACGTAAGGTGTTATATTTTTAAGTGATTTGTACAACTAAGCATTATTTAACATTTAAATCTAAAATATGGACTGGTAGATTTATTGCCTATTTGTCTCTATAGATCATAATACTGAATAAAATCATTTTAAACCAATTTGAGTGGAGATGAGGGAGGAAGCTTGGGACCAAGGACCAATTACTTAAAGGAAATTGACCAAACTAGCAGTTTATTTAACTGGATTAAATAAATGAGCATGTCATAATAAGTCAATGTATATTTGTCTTTTCTTTTTACAATGACCAGGAATAAATTTTCCAAACTAATAAATTGGCTCTATTAGTACATACTTAGGAGCTTGTATTTAAGCTTAGGTTTTTTAGTTTATTTTTGAAGGAGAAATATGTATACTGTCTTAATGAATTTCTCATGGTTGGAAAAAGATTTAGACATAAAGTCTGATTTCATTACTATAATCTTTTTCTCCAAAAACCTTATTACAGTGTCTTCTTTTAAAAGGTAAATTATAGTGGCTTAGTTTTCCAGTTATTGTGTGTAAGCATAATATTGAATTTAGAAGACAGAAATAAATTTGAGTATTTACACATCTGTAAATAAGCATATATAATATGTATGTATGTGTGTGTGTGTGTGTGTGTGTTTACACACACACAGAATATTCAGGTGATTTTTTTGTTTTCCTAACCACCCCAGGATTGAAAAATTCCAATTCAAACCTTTAAAAAATAAGGTTTAATTGTGTTACAGCTAATAAAATAATTAGAATCATTTTGCTAAGAATTGATCTTTTACACACAGTAGACAAAAATGCTTTTCTTTTGAATGTTTGCTGTTAATATCATTTACTTGAATTCTTCCTCAGGTATGCGGTGATATAGCCATTTGGACGAGTCATTCAAATACTCTTACTTAGTGGAAGAAATACGTAAAATGCTTAGATTACTGTGACTTTTTTGTGTTTGTATCAGGCAGAAACTCTGTTATCAGTGGTGAATAGCTAACATCCTTAGATCCAGCCCTAATATATCTGGTAGATTTGGTACCTGTTAGATGACAGAGCCAAGCAACCTTCTAACTTTCTGTATGTTGTGTGTGAGATGCATATTTCTTGAAACTTTCTTGAAACTCTTTACTATAGAAGTCTTAAACTTCTCCAAAACAAAAAAAAAACAAAAAAACCAAACCCTAAAAACAACAAAAAACAAAAAAACTCTCCCTGGAGCTCCTGTGAAGCATTCAGGGTCTTATAATTTCAGTTTGCAAAGTGGTATGATACAATGTTGCTGAGCAGAAAAGCACACGATAGATTTAATGTAGCCAATTGTATACTTTTGAAAAAAAGAGTAACTGTTCCCTGTGAGTTAATTTTGGATTTTTTCAAAATCTCTCTTTTAGGCTTTGTGCAGGATTCTTCCAGACAAATGCGTATTCCATGTGGGCCACTGTTCTGCTAAATGCTCTCAGTTCTCCTTTTGCAATCAAGATTATGTTGCTAAGGAGATTTTGCTTTTATTGGTGCCATTGATTTGTGTTAATACGTTTTGAATACCTCTTGGTATTCTTCCTTAGACAAGGCCAAAAGAAAAACTTCCCCGAGTTTCCCAATTTACATCACAAATGGAGCGGTGGTGTAATGAAGCCGATATAAAGTGGGCAGTTGAAAGGGAACTAAAGAAGGGCACTCAAGTGAGAAATGAAGAAATGTGCCGAGTGCAGTCTGTGGCTGCCTTCGCTCCAGCTGCAGGAACTGGCTCAAGCCAGAGGCAGAGGCAGAGGGAGCACCTCCCTCTTGAAAGACCACCCACTTTCTGTAGCCTTGCTTGGCACTCCATAGATTACCTCATTGACTAACATAGGGCCATTACAAAGCAAGAAACCCCTCCTGAAGCAAGAAGAAATGTTTTTTTAACTCCTGTAGCTCTTTGGCTTGTTTCACCTAGAGCATGATAAGACCACATTTGGATTCCAGGTGATCTCCAAGTATTTTAAGGGGAACCCCAAGAATGATGGACCAGGCCAATGGGCTTTTGATTCCTGGTATGTGAATGCTGAGGTTGGTGCTTCTCCTTTGTGGGCAGGACAACTGGAAGCGTAAATGGTTTTAGCTACCTGCACTTTTTTCTGATGGCATCAGAATATTTAGAATCAATATTGTTAGTGGGCCCAGACCCTAAGAAGGGATTTGTATTGACTTACTAATTGGCTTGCTTGCAACTTACTAAGTGCTGTGCTGAAGAGCATACAGTTAGAAGAGCTGAGCACTTCATGTTCTTAATCCCTTTAGCAGCTTACATTCAAAGATGACTCAACAACATTCCAGAGGGACATAACCACACATACTCCATTATATTATGCACTGATAACACTAAGATTTAGGGTGTTGCTTTTTGTTTTGAAAGTTGCGTGGACTTGACATTCTGTAGGGAAAATAGTTTCTAGACAAGGTTTAAAGGAAATTCAGAATTTAACAGAATATGAAAGGTCTCAACTTTTTGTAATATACACTGCATATGTATACGGTTGTATGATGAGAACTTTCATCAGAAATAAAAATTAGATGGTGAATTGATTCAGCAAAATAATTGTAAATTTAAACCATTAGTGTTGTAATGTTAAGTTAAGCGAGAAATATATTCTGCAGAGGCATTCTGATGTCACTGGGAAGCATGTAATTTATGGAAAGCATGATTTGGGAAAGGAAGATCTTGGTTTCTTCTATCAACAATATCTTTTCAAAAGACCTTTTAAACTAAGGTTTTGCATTTAAACTTTTAAAAATTGTAAAAACAAGAAAACCCAGAGATTGGAAGTCAATCAAGTGTTTTGTTTCAAATAGTGAGACTCCAGCTCTTTAGACAGTAAAGATCTTGGTGTATTCTCCTAAGTTCATGATCAATTTAGGTATTTTTTGACAAACACTGTTCTGTTTTCAGAAACACTCAGTGAATGAATTTCAGCTTTGTTGAAGAGTGAAATTAGAAATGGAAATTTTTATTTTAAAACTTCACTCTTCTATCTACGTTGACTCCGTTTTCCCACGATGTTGCCAGGCGTTAAAATTAGTGAGGAAAAAAATATATGAACACTTCTTCCAAGTTGTAATTTACTTAAGTGGAACTGGAACTTAAAGCTTATTGTTTATTAAGGTAATGTGAGACCATGGTTCAAATTGTGTTTGCTGTGTGTCTATATTAAGGATGATAGAATATGAAATTAAAAATCTGATACCTAATCTGTTTTCTTTTTAGCTTTTGACAGATGTATATCTTGTAACACTAGAGAAGTTACCATCATCTAAGAAAAGTA